TATGCCTGTACATATTTTGTAGGTATAAGGACTGCGCCCGAAGTGTGCTATTTATGCATTGACTAAACTCAGGCCCTAGTTAACCTTGCCTAGTATTCTTTACATGATAGCCATGTCAAATTTTTGCTGCAGCGCATATCATCCCACTGAGGTATCCCACTTTGTCAAATTTTTAAGTTGCTACACTGCTGTTGCTATAGCCAGCACTACCCATGCTGCAGAACAATATGTAAACATATAAATATGTATACTGGATGTGTGTATATACTGTATTGTGTGTATATATATATATATATACAGTAATACCTTGGTTTAAGAGCATAATTCGTTCCGGAAGCATGCTTGTAATCCAAAGCGCTTGTATATCAAAGCGAACTTCCCCATAGGAAATAATGGAAATTCAGATGATTCGTTCCACAACCCAAAATATTCATATAAAATGATTACAATAATGTACTGTAATATAATACTGTATAAAATATAAAGAAAAATAAACCAATTACAGGCACCTTCGTGGCTGGTGTGAGGGGGACAAGAGAGAGGAGGATTATTGTGTAGGACGACTTTCACTATCACTAGCGGAATCACTGCTATCTCTTGACTCAATGGAATCTTTTTCATTTTGTGAAACCTTAACAAGGAATCTATTCAATGTGACATTGTGTTATCGTTAAACAGTCTCATCGCTCGCACTGCTACAGCCTTATTCGGGTGGCGCTTTTCTACAAAATTTTGCTCTTATTGCAAGACATTTGCTTGTATATCAAGGCAACATTTTTCAGAAATGTTTGCTTGTCTTGCAAAACGCTCTCAAACCAAGTTACTTGTAAACCAAGGTATTACTGTATATATAAATGTATTTCTCATTTTTTGTGTGTGTGTGTGTGTTTTAATGCATTATTTCAGTAAGGTAGATTGCTTGTTTTAGTTTAAGTGACTATATTGGTGGAACAATAAAACAAGCATATACAGTTATGCAAATTTAGAAGCAGTGTCTCTACATTTAGCCTTTTATACATTGTCCTCTTTACATAAAATCCATCTACTTAAAACCCTATGTGCCCAAGGGAGACCTGTGCTTCTGTTAATTCACTTTACAATATCTATTTTAAAAAGATGAAAGTGCAATTCACTCCCACAACAAAGGATACATTTGTGTGCTATTTCCTGAACTTATATAAAAGGATATGCATACAGGGGATATGGTAACATAATTGATTTTTGCTGCAGTGTTTAATTTAGGTGAAATGCTTTGGCTTGCACATTTTAATGACAGTGGGAATATGGATATGTTATTGTACAGGAAACCGGGCCTGTTCCTGTCATGAGACAATGTGAGATCTTTGTGTAAAGTGACACTAAACTCAGGATTTAAATCTTAAAAATGCATTCAATTACCTTAACTATTAACACAAATGTATCTTATTTGTGTATCACTCGGCTGTAGATCCTCAAATCATCTCTGAATTGGTGCTGGCACTGTCCTTCCTTTTGGAGGGGGGCTACTTATGTCCTCCATGGTCCCTGTGTGTGTTGTAAAGTAGCCACCTCTCCAAGCTCACTCCTGTGATGGACTACAATCTCACATATAGTTAGATTATTTGTATTGAGATTGTAACTCCTTCCATCTTCTACAGGCGTTCTTCCTTCTTTAGCCATAATGCACTATTCCAACATTAGGCTCCACTTTTCGATATCTTAATGACTGTACAAAAAATCGCTAGTAAAAAAAGAGACATATAAGGCGTCTTGGCTGGAAATGGGGTATCAAGTCGAGTGTCAGTATAGCCTAGAAAATCTTTGATCTGCAGCACATCAAGATCAAGATGAACATCAAGGTCAGTCGCATTCAGCTGAACTTGTTACTGCAGCTCCATTCACTACCATGCTCTTCCAAGCTGGTGGGCCATGCTGAATATGTAGAGGCTGCATATATAAGACAATATGAGTTTGTGTTGATGAGCTTTGGAAATGTGTTGATGGGAAATTACCACTTGCTTTCAGATGTAGAAGGTCATCTTCAAAAGCATCTCAAAATTATGTGAGATGCAAGCAGTGCGTCTGATGCAACCATCAAGCATCAGTATGGGACACTTCTGAAACCATTCACAGTACATTGATGGGTACATGTGAGCTGCAGTTGACCTCTTTCACATTTGATCAAAATATTTCAAACTGCTATTGCATTCCCATTGACTTGTATGGGGAGAGCATACATCCCAAAAGTCCATCATTTGGAACCAAATCCCCCTATCCCTCCTCCTCAGTTGTCACTCTTTTTGGTCTGATGTACATACAGTATAGCCATGAAAAGGTTCTATTTAACTACCAAATGTGTTATTCTGCACTAAAATCTTCATCTTCTCTTCTAACGATCTTATTTGCTATTTTGAAGTCAGTATAAAGGGAAAGTAATGGTGGAAGAAAAACAATTCTGGGTTTTACCAATCATTTCTACCATATACATTCTTAATATTCCGCATAACTGGTCTGTATAACACAGCCACTGACATGTTTCTGCCTAAGTGGCCTTAGTCATAGGTGACTAAGGCCACTTAGGCAGACACGCGACAGCAGCTGTGTGCGGATTTTATGTTTGCACAATAAATGATAATCTGAGGCTTTCGAGTGGTGGAAGTGCTATATTGTCTTGGGTTTCATCCTGGTAGGAGGGTTTTTCCATGTACTGAAGAAGGGATGTGGGGCATTTATCAGGGGTGAGCTGTGTTTTTGTTTGTATGTGAGAGAAGCAGTATTGATACAAACAAAAGCCCAACAACACCGGCCTCTAAATACTGTATGTCAAGGTGGCAAAATATAAAAATGTTGGTCTTTGATTAATATACATTTAAAATAGAATTAAACTCTCAAATTGACATTGCCCAGCAAGGCATTGCTTCACATTTTTGCCCAAACACTTAAAATCATCATGTCTCTGAAACGGTGGTTTCTGCTTTCAAGTCTCAGCTTCCCTGAACTTTCTGTCCCGTACAAGATCACAAAGGACAGTGCAGGCTCCAGCAACTGTTCAACTACTAGCTTGTAGAAGGGAGGAGAGGGGGCCAGGGGGGAGGGAAGTAGCTTGGTTTGCTGTGTCTCTGTGTTTGTGGAGACCCCACAGCTTACTAGCACATACTAATGGTAACTGCATAGCACTCTCCTTGAGAAAGGATCACTCCAAAACAGGAAGTCAGGACCAGTACTCATTGGACCAGCTGTCCCGCAGAATCCCGCAGTAAATGCAAACAGCCGGTACCAGCTGTTCCATACAAGCGTTCGGGCAGCTCTATAGCCATGCGATCGCTTGTACACTAACAAACAGTGTGCGGCCCTCCTATGCTGTTGCGCTTCCCCCCCTCCACCGCCACTGCCGGTCACTGGCACAGTGGCTGCCGACACTCTAAATAAAGGAGAGATCAGCATTCTCCCACTGCTGATCTCTCTCTGATGCTTGAAGGTGGAAGTGATGTGTATTACATTACATCTGCCTTTAACTGTCATTTCTCTGACTGCTATAGCCAAAGAAGAAGCTGGTGAACCAGGGGCGTCCCGAGGCTGGGTGACACCCGGAGCGGTAACCGAGTGTCACCCCGCCGAGACGTCACTGCGCATGCGCGTGTCGATGACGTCATTGCGCACGCGCGGCAGTATTCGGATACCTGCCGGCGGCCATCTTGGTGATGGACACAGGCAGAGAGAGGAGGGGACAGTCACCCGGCGGAATAAGGTATGCCGCCGAGTCCCCTCCTCTCCCCTGAACATGTCGGGCGTTCGGTCCATGACTGAGCGCCTGACTTTTCAGAGGGGGGTGACACCAAAATGACTGTGAGTCATTTTGATGTCACCCCTCCAATGGTGTCACCCGGGTGCGGGCCGCACCCCCCTTGTGACGCCACTGTGGTGAAGCAGATCTCTGTGTGGCAGAGATCTGAAGTCACATTAAAAAAAAGTTGAAAACCCCCCTTAAATATTTGAAGGACCCCACCCCCATGTGCACGCACATATAAATATAAATATGCATTGGGTGCGCCTACATGTAAAAACAACGATTATGCCACACACGTTACATATTACCACGAACATCGGAGTGAGAGCAATCATTCTAGGGCCATTAATCACTGTTAACACTAAACTGATGGGCAATAAAAGCTTTTAAAGCGTTGCCTGTGGCCAATTTTGGATATTGTAGTTTTTTTGCAATTTTGCGGGTGCGCGTAATTTTAAAGCTTGACATGTTTGGTGTCTATTTACCTGATGTGGCCCCGTCTTTTATATTTTACCAAAAAAACTGGGTACTAGGAAATCTTTTATAACATAACATAGTGAGATCAGTTTTTTAAACAAATTTTAATACTTTTTTCATTGTATAGTAAAAAATAAAAACCTCCAGTGATGATTAAATACCACCAAAAGAAAGCTCTATGTGTCCCCAAAAACTGATATAAATTCATATCAGTACAGCGTTGCATGACGGAATAAACGTCAGTCAAAGTACCGCATCACTGAATACTGAAAAATGGCCTGGCCAGGAAGGGGGTTTAGCACCACGGTCAGCAAGTGGTAAATATCGCTTTACGCATGCAACAGTTTCATTTATGTCCAGAGCGCTACTATTACACAACTTATTTCATTATAAGGTGTCCCAATCTTGAAACATTTATTTGGAAAATCAACCTTTCAAGAAAAAGAAAAAAAATCAAATTTGGAACATAAATTTGCTGCAGTCTCTTTTTTCAGCACATGATAAAATGCACCCCAGTTATTACAATTATTGTTCACGTTTCTTCTGGTGAATCTTGAATATGAATCTTGTGTTCTGTAATTTTATAGTTGTAAGTTTTCTGAAACGCTGCATTTCTCATCCCCGTCACGTACACACAGCAGTCAGACAGTTATAGTGAAAGCCAGCATGACAAATAAAAGCAGCAAAACATTAGCACTGAATGTCATATTGGTATAATAGACTTGTTTATAATAGACTTGTATTAAAACATCTTCACAGAATCCAGCTTTGTCCTTCAGAAAGGTCGGTGTACCTAGATGCCACAGTGTTGCTTTATAACCGATAATGCCTCCTTTAATACATCCTCCCTGGAAGCACTGGCGTCAATAACTATACATCCTGGATTCTCCATTCTTCTGTATGCTTCTTCAATTCTACAAGACAATTAAGAAAAGTTGAAAAAGACAAAATGAAAACGTGCCCCGAGTCACCTGCACTCCATACAGCATTGTAATCTTGTAGAATGGTGGTGCTCGCAGTGATGACATGGATGGCGTTGTGTGAAAGTTCCAAAGTGAAGATCAGATAATCACCAGCACACAGATGGTATACTCTTAGATTCTTCTTCAATTTATTAGATGATCGACACTAGGCATCCTTTGGCTACACTATGTGACCTCAAGGTGACACTGACACTGTGTTACCTTGAGGAAGGGACTCTACGTGGCCCCAAATGTTAGCATTTGTGACGATCATCGAATAAATTGAACAAGAATTTAAGAGTATATGTATATAGCTCTGACATATATCGCAGTGCCGTACAGAGAACACTGAGCCAGTCACATCAGTCTCTGTGCAGAGGAGCTTACACTCTAATGCAGAATGACACTCAGGGCTTAGTGACCCGATGGACTCTGGGCTTAGTCACCCTGCTGGACTCTGGGCTTAGTGACCCGATAGACTCTGGGCTTAGTGACCCGATGGACTCTGGGCTTAGTCACCCTGCTGGACTCTGGGCTTAGTGACCCGATGGACTCTGGGCTTAGTGACACGGTGGACACAGGACCCACCTGAGAGTGACCCTGCAGAGCTCAGCATAGATGCTGCACAGCCCATCTGAGACTCTCTATGGTGGGGCCTGCTGGGGTCCCAGGTGGGCTGGTTGGGTCTTCATCTTCCTCCCAGCTCCTCTTACCTGCTCCTGGTGCCTGTACATCTGGCCTCTTCTCCCGCAGGACCGGCCGGAAGTGGCGTGATGTCACTTCCGGTTGGTCCGAGATCAGAGCAGTGGCGGCGCTGATGGGCCCCAGCCTGCTCCGAAAACCGCTGGATTGGCAATGCTGGGGCGGAGGCATAATTAGAAGCTTCAGGGCCCCAGTGCAAGCAACCATGAAGGGCCCACTCCAACCCCGACCGCCATAGGAAGGAGCTGCGGAGAGTTGGCCTGCTGCATCCTGGGAGCTGAGGTGGTTAACGGGGCCCTCTTCCTCCTGTCTGGGCACCCCCAAGCGGTGGAACTACCAGAGTCATAGCTGTGACTGAGCCCTGGCGTTCCACCACTTGAGGGGGCCCGTTAACCACCAAGGTGCCGTCATTGCCTCCTGGAACTACAGCTCCCAGCAGGCAGACGCTCAGCAGTTCTTTCCCATGGTGGTTAATATGGGGGTGTTGGCGGTCTCACCAAAGATGCGGGCAGTCCCTCCAGGTCTGCAGGCGGTCTCTCCAGGGATACGGGTTGTCTCTCCAGGGTTACGGGCGGTCTCTCCAGGGATACGGGCGGTCTCTCCAAGGATACGGCCGTTCTCACCAGGGATACAGGTCGTCTCACCAGGGCTGCGGAAATCTCACCTGCTATACGGGCTGTCTCACCAGGGCTGCGGCAGTCTCACCAGGGCTCTGCAGGGTCTCAGGCGATAGAGTTCAGGGTTAGGGCTGCTGGCAGCTCACCCACCCTCTATGTCCAGGTCGGTCCTCTCTTTCCCTCTCTGCCTGACACCACTCCTAGAGCCCTCCCCCTCCTTCCCAGGGCCCTCAGGTGTAAGGATGAGCTTGGGCGTGTTCGCAGCTCCATGTGCCGAGCCCACCAGGAAGCTGACAGCGCGCAGCGCCAATCACAGGTACTGAGAAATTTTCGCGGTCCGCAGCTGCAGAGATCGGGAAATGTCTCAGTGCCTGTGAGCTTCCTGGCGGGCGCGGCACGTGGAGCTGCTAACACGCTTGAGCTCATTCTTACTCAGGTGCAGAGCTGGCCCTGGCAATGCCTGCAGAGCGGCGGGAGGAGAGAGGGAGGAAGCCGGCAGTTGAATTTCCCCCCCTGACGCGGCGTGACCAGGGCACATGCTTCCTGTGCCCCCCCTCCGCCGGGTTCGGCACTGGCACCAATTAACCCTTCCCTCTCACTGCCCTGCTCGGACAAGCTTCGGTCCGTCAGAGCAGGCTGATGCATAGCGTCAGGGCATAGCAGGCCAGGTCGCACACAATCAGGATGATTGTGTGCGGGCCCTTTTCTTCTCCTCTGGGCCCCCCCCCCCCCAACAGGCTGAACGCCAGTGCTCGGTCACAAATTATCAAGCGTTTTTTAAACAGGGCCCTGTCGCACACGCGACCCTGGTAGTTCTGCCAGTGCCGTCGGCTGATACTCATGTAAGGGTCCCGGGCGGAATTTGATCTGTGTATTTTTTTTTTTTCTTGGTTAAGCTCTTTTGAAGTATACAGCATAAACATAATTAATGACCAGGATCCCATGTGCTGTTCACACTTCCAATAGTATTATAAGGAAAATGTTGTCTGAATAGAAATGTAAGTGTATTTTGTGGATACCAGAAGTCAGCCCAGGCAACTATATCTTGTTTCTTGAGGCCTTAGAGTGTGATTACACTTTTGCAGTCAAATTTGAGAACCCCCACTGTGTTTGTTATGTGTTCCCATTCACATAGCAGACCTAAAAATACATTTAAAAAAATGTCCTACTTTGTAGTTGTTTCTTTGGAGTAGGTTTATACATAGGACTCTATGGGCAGCTTCTATGGCTTGGAGTAGATGGCAATGTGAAGATAAGGGACTAACCAAGGGACAGTTTAAAAAAAAAAAAAGTGCATTAACTTACAATGTGCCACCCAAGCTCTGAGATCTTTAACCCTTTGTTAGGACAGACAGTGTTCAAATCTAGTTTACAAATTATGACAGGGTATGACAGTACAGACAGGGTTAATCATTAAAGGAGAACTATGGGGTTAAGGCTTTTCCCCATAGTTCTCCTTAGGGTAACAGGAGGACACAAACTAGCATCCTCCCGTCACACTAGGCTCAGTATACCGCGAGTTGTAGCTCACGGTATACTGAGACGCCGCAGCTGAAGCGGATCCGGCCAATTATGTCTGGTTCCGCCCAGCTGCGTGACTGACAGCTGGCTCTGCCTATCTAGAGGCAGAGCCAGCTGTACCCGCCCCCTTCCCCGTCCGTCCTGCCAGTGAGCGCTGGAGGATTGGAGCGGGGAGGGGGGAAAACAAGCCCCTCCCTTGTCACGGCAGAGAGCCGTGACAGGATCGAGAAGTGAGCGAACGCTGGTATGTGTTCGCTCACTTCCCGATCTACTGAGCCGACCTGTGACAGTCTCATTGTCACAGGTCGGCTAGAACTATGAGGTGAGTGAAAAGCAATTTGGCTGCCAAAGTGGAAATACAATTTAACCACTTGAAGACCAGGTGTTTACACCCCATTCCTGGCCAGGCCATTTTTTAGTATTCAGCGCTGCGGTACTTTGACTGACATTTATTCCGTCATGCAACGCTGTACTGAAATTCATTTTATACCATTTTTGACCATATTCATCACTTCCGCATTCTGACAGCGGAGAGGGGACCGGAGGGAGATCGTGTACATATCTCCCTCTGATCAATTCAGAGAGGCACTATGCCGGTCCTGGACTCTCACCGAGCACAGCAGAGCCCAGGAGCAGCGTGACAGCGGGAGGGGGGAGCGCGGGGGGGGCGCCCTAGGGGCACGGATCGGCACCCCATCCAAGCGATCCGCCGGCTCTATAGCCGGCCGATCGCTTGTATGTTGACAGGCATCGCTGACAGGCAAGTGTAGGTACTTTCCCACTCACGCGCGCCGTGGGCGTGGCTGAGATCCAGTGAGCTCCCGGCCGGCCGTTTTCTTACAACAGGCGGCCGGGAGGTAGTTAAAGGAGAACCCCATATATGCAAACAGTTAACCCCTGCAGTAGGGCTACCCACATAGTGCAAGGGTTAACCACTTTTTTCTCTAGGGGGAGCACAAAAAAGAAGATATGCTCACCTGAACCTCGGTCGTGCAGTGATGAGTATTCACGTCTCTCTCCCTCCACTCCTGCTATGGTATGTTCCCCGGCATCCTCACATCTAATGCATTTGAAAGGACCTGGATTAGACATGATGATGTCAGTGGGGCTTAGACCGCCTTAGCCAGGGGTGGGGGGGAGAGGCTAATGGGACAGGTCTAGCAGCCAGGCAGGATTGAGAAATGGGTGAGAATATTTTTTTACTTCACCCCCTAGAGAAATATTAGCAGTTAACCCTTGCAGTGAGGGGGTAGCCCCACAGCAAGTGTTCATTTTTTTACATTCCTTGAGTTCTTCTTCAAGGTTTGATATGGTTTCAAAACTTCAATATCCTTTTAAACCGCTTTAGATGGTGTATTCATCCTTCATATACAAACTTACTTCTGTCGGAACATATTATTGGCCTCAAGCTCTTTTTCTTCTTGTGTTTCCGCAAGTCCTCTCTTGCGAATACGACGAATTCGCTCCTCATCGCTAACAGTCAAAAAAATGACAAGGTCGGGTTTAAGGAGGTCATCTGGCCAGTGGTAAACGACATGGTGAGGGTCTGGCAGATTCTGAATGTCACCTCCGATCTCTGTGGCTATAGCATAGGCAGCTGTACTGTGCCAGAACCTAGACGGGTCATAAAGAGGCAAGCTGAATGTGTGAAAGAAAGAGAAATGATACTGAAATAGACATCTCCACTTAAAGTGTATGTAAACCCCCAACAATAAACTTCTCCTTTTTTTGCTCCCTGTTTGTCTGATAAAAGGGTCTAATCATAACTGATTCACAGAACAATTCTCCCTATGAATCTTTCTGACCATTCACTCTGTGCGTATAGATGCAAAAACAAACATTCTATATTTTCTATTCAGGTTGAATGTATGTAATGTAGTGCTGCATTATAGCCTCTAGATGGAGCTGAGGAGCATAGGAAATAAATACTTATTTCTTATACTCATCTGCTCCATCTAGTGGCCAGAATGCAGTATTACATTATATCAGATGTGACCTGAATAGAAAATATACTAAGAGCATTCTTTTTTGCATCTATTTGCACAGAACAAATGTTCAGAAAGATTTATAACGTGAACAGCTCGCCCGTTGGTTATTAATAGACCCCAAAGTGTTTTGTTATAATGGTTCAATAAGGGCTAAAAATGAAGGCCCTGCCAGAAATCTTCTTAACTGATACCTTCCTGTGCACTTTTTGTGATATGCCTTTATATATGATTTCTGTCTCTGGTATTTATCCCATCCCTCCCCATAGTACAGTTTTCCTCTGTGCAGATAGCTCCACCCTTCTTCATTATGTTCCAGTTTTTATCTCAGCCACGTGTCCTTTGCTGAGTGGATCACATTATGATCTTTTGGCCTACCCTATGTTTGCTGTTGTAAAGATCTGCACAGTTTGGATTAAACTTCTCAAGGTGTCTTATGGATTGAGTCACTGTCTGCCCACTCTACTGAGATTGGGAGTTATTGCCATCTCGCCACAACTGTAACTTACAGGGATCACACTTTCAATGCTTAGACTAGGGAGACAGAACAGCATTCTTCCTCTGCTGACTGTTATTAGTTAGGATTGTTCTCAGCTATCTTTGAAGAGCACAGAACATCTTCCTCTATTTTATGGAGAAGAGGAGAGAGGGGAGGTATTCTGCAGTGCTATCCTTGGGTAACAATGCAGTTCCTCCATTGATGCAGTACAATCAGCAAGCATTGTCACCCTAGGACAGGAAGTGTGGCAGGATAACCACGTGAAAATAAAGATAAAAATAAAAAATAAAGGAGAAAACTAATGCAGACGCCAAATCTAAGTACTGGTAAGCTGCAATATGCCATTTTTTTTCTTGGCTTTAGATACACTTTAACCAACCTGTCAACAATCACTGGAGATTCTTTTGATGCTTTTGCGATGTCCACTGCTGCGACATAGTTACTCAAGGCGTAGTACGCTCTTTTTATGAGTGACGTCTCTTCATCAAAGGTTTTCCTCCACCGACTAATTGAATCTGGTGGAGATTTAAGGAGTGCTGCTTTTAGGTGCTTTTTAAGAGATTCTGTCAATGTAGATTTCCCTTTGAGAAAAAGAAAACACAATGATTGTCTGTTTTTGGATATTAGATCACCATTTACAACAAAAATGTTACGCGGTAATATTGTAGCTTATTAGTCCTTCGGTAGTGTGGCTGTGGTGATTTAACATTTTTAGACTTTTTTCCTTTATTTTTACCTGTTGGTCCTCTGAATAATACACATCCTGCCCCAGGGTGGCTACACTCACTTATCCCACTGAATGTATGGAGGAAGCCATGGTTGTCACAAGGCTACACTCACTTATTCCACTGTATGTATGGAGGAAGCCATGGTTGTCACAATGCTACACTCACTTATTCCACTGTATGTATGGAGGAAGCCATGGTTGTCACAATGCTACACTCACTTATTCCACTGTATGTATGGAGGAAGCCATGGTTGTCACAAGGCTACACTCACTTATTCCACTGAATGTATGGAGGAAGCCATGGTTGTCACAAGGCTGCTTTCCTAAAAACATGCCTTTCTCTCCTTATCTCCATTACATGGATGGCGGGGGAATTTGTAGTATGAGGGAGACAGATAAGTAGGATGATGATGTGTGATTTTAGTTCAATTAACAGGATTACAAGTTACAAAGGCACTGCATCTCTGTTATGCATCAACGGATACTTTCTGTATTTGCTTAAAATTTGGTTTTAAATAACTTTTTTTTATATTTATACCAGTCATAGACATGAGAATTTGTTTTATGTGTTTATCACATATGCTCAGATTCTTGTTTAAATGTATTTTTTTAGATATAGGTGTAAAGACACTCAGCTCGAAGGTAATAATTAGGGATGAGCTCAGGTTTGGACACCTTCCCCGCCAGCTGCTGCACATGTGCAAAGGGGCGGGATGCAGTGATGTCATTGATCTAATATGGCTGCACGACAATACTAGGTAAATTACATATACCTAATATAGCTGTAGCGTCCTAGTGGAAAGGGTGCTATTAAATTTAGTGTTTATCAGATTGTTTGTGGCCTGATACTAATTTGTAGTCTGGGTTCATGTGGCGTTCCCCCTAAACAATCTATCATTGCTCACCATCTGTCTGCTGCTAGAGATACTGCAGGGTGTGCCCTGGTCACAGAACAGAGCAACCAATGGAATTGCTAGGAGTGGATATCCCTCCCCAGCCAATCACTGTTGAACGATGGCCAGTGGTGCATGCTGGGGGAGGAGATAAATACTTGGGATGGACCATGTGACCTCTCTCTTCCTCCCCCGGGCCCAGCCTGAGCTGGCTAGGCCTAAAATCCTGGGGACTAGCCATGTAAAGACCCTGGAGCCTGGTTGCAGCAGGTCCAGTGGTTGCTACTGCTAAAGACAAGGATCAGTAGTTTCTACCTCCAGTATCAGGTGTTTGACCTGCTGTGCATGGAAGCAGTAGCCACACTCTCTCTGAAAAGCCATGGAGTCTACATGTGCCTGGATGATCCTAACCCTCCTCCTCTCTCCCTGAAGTTCTGCAAATAAAGGTTTCAAGCATCACAACTACAGACTGGACCTCACTTCAGTCAATCACCAGAAATGGCGGTAAATGTGATGGGCAGAAGCGAGTGAATGTATCCCTAGACAAGAAGAATTGGAGCTGCTGTAACCCATAGCAACCGACCCTAGTAACTCAAAGTGTGCTGGTGTGCTGTGGATCCATAATAGAGGTTTCTTATAGAGGAAAGACAGGGAGAACCGTTGTTTCATTTGGCTGTAGATTACCCCTTCAGAGCCACCGGTAGTGTTATTCTGTGCTGGGATAGCGCTGACCAAGGAAGGGGGATGCTACATAGCCATTTTCCCATATTAGGTATTATGATGTCAGCAAAGGCACCCCGCCCCTCTGTTTATGGGCATCTGTGGGGCAGGAATGCCATGATGAAGTACAGAGATGCAGTGATGGCGTCACTGGGTCTAAAACAAAAGTAGGTAGTGAAATTAGAAATGTATTTTTAAAACTGCTTCAGCATATTGATGAAGGGGAGCGGCATTAAGCAGGGAAGACAACATATAGGTAGATTAAAGGCCGTGACACACTGCACGCAAAGCAGCGCGGAGCGGGGGCGCGCTGCCTTTGCGAGCAGTGTGTCATGTAATTTTCTGCTCGGCACCTCAGCTTGCGAGAGCTCGCGGAGCTGAGCGTGCCGAGATGAACAATTTCAACTTCAGCCAATCGGCTCGCGCGTATAAACCAGCGCGTCGCGATGCGACAGCTGGCAGGTTGTTACGGACGAGCCGATTGGCTGAAGGTGCTGTCAATCATCTGACGGCACTCAGCTCACACACTGCACGCAAAGCTCCGTGCCGGATAGCTTTGCTTCGCTCTGCACGGCTTTGCGTGCAGTGTGTCACGGCCTTAACCCCTTTATGACAGTATAATGCATAAATGAGGCAGCACGGCGGTTGGGCCTTAACCTTATATTAGCTTCCATATACATGCACTGCTGTTTTGTTCTGGGGCACACTCAATTTTTCGTCCATGACGGAGCTGTCACCGACAGCTCGCGGTCAAACACTAGTGACTGGGAGCCGGTAGGACAGGCTACCAATTATATGAACACTGCACAGCCAATCACAGTAAACAAATGAACAGGAGCCCCTCCTACTAGCCTCCAGTGTCACTGCACATATTTAAAGGCCAGCTCCCGTAGTCAGCATGCAGTTAAACTTCAGTTTTTGACAACACAGTCACATTTTCTATTTTATGTACCTCCATTGTGTCTTACCTGTAGCATCAAGTCCTTCTATTACAATGACAGGATAGGATCCTTTTTCTGGAACGGTACTCAGCTCCACAAATTCCAAAAGTTTGCCAGCTTCTGGGATAACTTTGGAGCTCTACAAAAAACAATATATATTTGTTAATATGTTTCTGTTTTTATTGATGTTTATTTCAGTTTTACATATGAACAATAATAAACAACCATCATCATAGAATTGATTAAAAAAACTAGGCATTCCCTGAATGGTCGCTGTGCCAATCAAGTCTGTGTTTTTAGAGCAGAGGGGAAACCATTCAGCTCAGCGCCAGGCAGAATCCAGATGATCACTCTCAGCACTTTTGTAGCCCCGGCTGTCACAGTGCTTTACAGCATCTACGTGAGCCAATCAGGTATAACATGTTCATAATTACATTGGGCCAAGCTGGACGATTGCAGGTATGCAGAATATTTTATACCTGGGCTTCAGCTTTAGTCCCCGTTCTCACCCTCGCAATCCATGAACACGTGTCACGTTCATGCACTTTCTCGCGTTTGCTGCGTGTCTCCCATTGATTTCAATGGATGCCACACGTAGAACAAACTTTGTTAGCCTGATGAAGGGACCGGAAAGATTCAGAAAGGTTGCCACGCATGGTGATATGGCCTACTAAGATGAATAAAAGGATTTCATATTGAAGAAAACTTGGAGTGCTGGTGACCATTGATTCTGTTCTGTAAGTACTTGATGGCGCCATCCGCAGCCACTTCAGCACTCCCCAAAATATATTATTATTATTACATAGTATTTATATAGCGCCAACAGTTTGCGCAGCGCTTTACAATATTAGGAAGACATTGCAATTACAACACAATTCAAGACTAGATGGTAAGGAGGGCTTGATAAGTAGGAGGAGAACCACGAGAGAGCAGAGTCTTGTAGGCCAACTGGAGTTTTTTGAGGAGCAGCGGGTGGTCAACAGTGTCAAAAGCAGCAGAGAGGTCTAATAGCAAGAGTAAGGAATAGTGGCCATTGTTTTTAGCAGTTATTAGGTCATTGGCGAGTTTTAGGAGGGCGGTTTCAGTGGAGTGTTGAGGGCGAAAGCCGGACTGAAAGGGGTCCAAAAGGTTGTTACTAGCGAGGTGGCAACTCAGGCGGTTGTAGATAAGGTGTTGTAGTATGGGAGCATTAAGGTGAATGGGAGTAAGGAGATAGGTCTGAAATTATTGAGGTTGGTAGGGTCCAGTGAAGGTTTTTTGGGAATTGGGGTGACAAGTGCATGTTTGAGAGGGGGCAAAATATATATGGGGTTTCTCGGTCAGGAGTACGGTGGGACTTCCTATTTAAATATGGTAAAGCAGCTCATGTAGCAGACGCTGCTACAGGCATACTGTGTTTTTTTTACCATGCGTTTGTGTGCGCTTGACGCACATCAATGTGCAGGAAAACACGCATTTTGCCAGCCGCATTTGAGGTGCCATTAACAAGTAATGCCGCCGGAAGCATGTGGTGCATTTTTTAAATGTTCTGTGAGCGCCCTTTAATGCGCGTGTTCACAGAGCGCCAGCGTATACTTGACTGCTTAAAGGAGAACTATGAGATGAGTGCTTTCCACTCACCTCATAGTTCTAGCCGACCTGTGACAATGAGACTGTCACAGGTCGGCTTAGTAGATCGGGAGGTGAGCGAACACATACCGGCGTTCGCTCACCTCTCGATCCTGTCACGGCTCTCTGCCGTGACAGGGGAGGGGCTGGATTCCCCCATCCCCGCACCGATCCGCCATATACTGAGTATACTGAGCCTAGGGTGACGGGAGGACGCTAGGTCTTCTGCACGGGAAACGCAATCGCTATATGTGAATGGAGCCTAACATAGCATTGCTGAATCTAAGGGTCACTGCACATTACAACCTGGCCATATAATCTTTGTACAATCAACTTAAATGTATCAAAACTATGTAACCTCAACTCTCCAATCAATCTGCATCCAATCAAGCATGCCCTTGCACTACATAGTTGTTGGAGGATCTAAAGGAAATTGTACAATCAGATTGCAACGTGTATGGTGAGCTTAAAGGAAAATTGTATGAAGATTGTGCAGTCAGATTGTAGCGTGTATGGTAAGCTTTAAAGCCTAACTCCAGGCATTTAGTAAATTATTAAAATGACTCCCAACTTTGTCACTCCAGCTCTTGTGGAACTACAATTCCCACTAACCATTGCAAAGCTCTGAGAGTCACGGACATGACTCCCAGAGGCAGATTCAAGATAGGATTTGTAGTTTCACCACGGCTGGAGTGCCAAGGTTGCCTACCCCTGAAATAACAAAATAACACCAGATACCTTGTGCAGTATACTATATCTCACCTCATGCAGCACAGACAGTACATTTTGCAGGGAGGAATACACAGCAGAACCGCTGAGAATCTCCACGAATGGGGAAGGCATCGGGCCATTCACTGCCACTACTTCGGACCTGTCCATCTCCTTGACTTGTCCATTGGCTTCCCATCGGCTCTGCCAGACCTGGCTCTCTTCTCCTGTATAGGTGCACAGCTGGATGTTCTCCTGGTTCTTCCTCAGTAGGCTGTGCAGCTTATTCTGTAAGTCAGGGCGACGCTGCGGATCCAGAATTAGGAACCCTCTCTGTAGAGAGCCATGAAGGTTCTCAGGAACATATGAGAGGAGTTTAACAACCTGAATCCCAGGCAGCATCTCAGTCAGTTCTTTTCCCAGTGACTTGTGTAGCCTCTCTGCTTGCACCCGAGGGCCGGTGGTTACACACAATGAATGAGCATAGCTGCCTCGTGCTAGGAATGGCCAGACATTGGAGGTCCCAGAGGGCACCGGGCTTGCATTGTCTTTAGAGGTGAAATAGAAGGGGGGAGAGCAGACAGATTCCACAGCAAAGAGCCGGGATTTTACTTTGCCCTGAGTGCCAGCATTGGCCATCCTTCTGCAGATTCTCAGTGTAGATCTGGTGTGTAAGAAGAGCTGGAGGCAAAGGGTGTGAGAGGTGACAGGGACTGCCATCATTCTGAGGAAACTGAAACAGTATCAGCTTGTCATGTCATTGCTGCGGAGAAAAGAAACTGAAACTAAGAGGAGATCAGAGGAGAAAAGAAACTTGGCCACACCTCAGACCGTGTGCAGAGTTTCTGTTTCCTAGTAATGTCATGGAGAGATACAAGAAACATGTGATAAGCTCTCAGTAGTCACCCCACCAACTCTGTACTCAGCACCAAACTTCTTCTTTCTTTTTTTCTTTCTTTTCTTTTCTTTTCTTTCTTTCTTTCTTTTTCTTTCTTTCTTTCTTCTGTTATTCTTCTTCCTTCTTCTTCTTTATTCTTTTCTTCTTTCTTTTCTTTTCTTCTTCTTACTTTTTTTTCTTCTTTCTCTTCTTTTCTTTCTGCTTTTTTCTTTTTCTTGAATTCTTTTCTTCTTTTCCTTTCTTTCTTCTGTTTTTTTTCTTTTTTCTTCTTTCTACTTTTCTTCTTTCTTCTGTTATTCTTATTACTTCTTCTTCTCTTTATTCTCTTCCTTTTTCTTCTTTCTATTTTTTCCTTCTTCTGATCGCTGGAGTAGAAAAAAAAAACATCTAAATTGACATTTTACTCACCTAATATGCTGCAGGCATGTGATCCTCCTGTACTCAGTCTTCTCTCTTCCTTTATTTACATTTACATTCCGGGTCCTTCTTCTGGTGTCCACATCACTGTCTACATGATGTTATGGGTGATAAATGGGTGTGGCCACTGAGGGGTGTGGCCACTGAGGGGCGCCTTAAAGCTTTCTCGCACAGGGCGCCTAAAGGCCTAAGGCCAGCCCTGATGTTGACAATTCCTATTGGCTGTCCAGCTGTGGGGTCCTCTCAGGATCCAGAATAGGAGTGATGCCTGCATAAAGGAATGGAGGGGACTGGCATGTAAACATCTTGCTTCAGTAGAACTTAAATAAAAAAGGATGGGTTGGAAGGGCAGGTGGAAAGGGAGTCATATTGTGTCTTAAATTGGGCCTTAAGAAAAAAAACAAAAACAAGGAAAACAATTTTTTCTGCAATACATGCCTTCAGTGAACCCAACCCCCCTCCCTCCCCCGCCCCAAGGTCTTCTTCTTTGCCACATGCATCATTCAACTTGGAAGACAATAAAGACTTTCTTTGAATGTGAGTGTCATGGTCTCATCCGCTGAGGGGCATCATCTCTTCACCCCTCATTCAGCTTCTCTGATGTCTTAGACTCATGAACACGTTTTTCCACCCTTGCCACTTAAAAGCCCATTTATTTGAATGGGCCGCCACACACGCGACAAGGAAGCTCATTCAGCATTTTCAGCTGTGAGCTTCCTGTGTTTTTTAACCACATCTTTTTGTGCGTTTGACCCATGTCTACGCGCAAGCAAAAAGGTGAGTTTTACCAGCTGTGTTTGGGGTGCCATTAACAAGAAATGGCACAGCAAGTGTGTCACATGTTTTTGACATTGCGTAAACGCGCGCCAATACGTGCACTTGATCTGCTTTTGGTGCGCATTCACGCAGCCCCAAAGTATGACTGGAAACTTAATGTCAGAGCATCTCTCTGCATTAGTCCCCATTCACACAATAGCATTGCATGAATGTGCACCAAAATGCATGCTCATGCAAAGTGTTAAAAACGTGCAATGCGCTTGCGATTCCTTTACTTGTTAATAGGATGGTAAAATGTGCATTGTTTCCTGCTCCTGGACGCACATCAAATGTGCTCAAATGTGCAGGAAAAACACTGAACGCTTGCATCTGAAAAATGCTGCATGAGCTTCTTTGCCATGTTTGTCACACATGCAGCAGCCCACTGATTGAATGGGCTAATACATGACAACAGTAGCAAAAACGCACACGTTCATGCATCACAAAATGTGAATAGGGCCTTAAGCAGATTTGGTTTATGGGTGTTAGACATGTGATATAACATGTTAGAAGTGACCAAAAAGGAAAAAGTGTTAAACAAAACCAAAAGTTGTAGTACTGCAGCTGACATATTACCACAATACATGTTAATAGAGAAGTTAATAGAAACCATGAGTAGACAAGGGAAGCTGTGGCTTAGCAGTTAAAAAAGGTACTGATGACCACATTAGTAGCCCCGGACATCCTGACAAACGGAAATGTGTAAAGACAATAATTTCCTCTACTTTCCCTTTGCCATTTCATGTCTCCTACACATACTGAAGTAAAAGAAACAGGTCACCAGCACACGTTTAGAATAAATATGTCCTTTTTTAATGGACAATTGTGTCACTACAATCAACAGAGCCGACGTTTCGGGGCCGCACAGGGTCCCTTCTTCAAGGCAGTAATTGCGTCACAATTTTACTGCCTTGAGGAAGGGACTCTGTGCTGCAGCGCTGAACACTGAAAAATGGCCTGGCCAGGAAGGGGGTCTAAACACCTGGTCTTGAAGTGGTTAAAAAAGGACATATTTATTCTAAACGAGTGCTGGTGACCTGTTTCTTTTACTTCGTATTTTGCACGGTGCCATCCGTGATAGTCATTGCGAGCACCACCGTTCTTATTTGGCCAGGACTGCTGTAAGGTGTGCGGAGAGGACCCCCACCACCTGAAAACTTGTCCTACACATACTGAACAACATACTCGCCGTACTCCTTTTCTACACATATTGCCTCTTCATACTCTCCACTCTCCTCTCCTGCACATACTATTGCCCCCCATTGTACTCTTTGCTCTGCACTGCTAACCTGCACATACTATTGCCCCCACATCATACCCTCCCCACTCACATATTGCCCCAATCATACCCTCTGCTCCCCTCTCCCGCAGATCGCAACCCCCCTCCCCATCCCATCATACTCTCTACAGCTACACTTATCCCCTACAAATATAGCGCCCCCATCATACCTTATGCACTCCTCTTCTGCACAAATTGCACCCATCATACCCTCCATATTCCTCTCTTGCACATATTGCCCCCACATCATACTGCCAGCTAAAACATTACTTCAGTATTATTTGTAACATCCCTAACATAACTATGCTCATTCTGTTTATATAATATGAATTAAAGACATCTAATGAGCACAATAGAATGTTTATCTTCAGTTTACAGAGTTTCAAATGCATGCTGTGGAAAAACACATGCATACGATAACAAACATATACACACATGTCTTACTAAACTGACATAAAATAATATTTTGCTGTAATTAGCAGGTTAAATGTATTATTTTATTCATCATCATGCAGTGCCAAAGCTTCACCACTGGAGGCACTAATGAGCAGAAACAAAACTAGAAGAGTCCATAGAATATTTATTGCAGGTTTGCTGTGAACAGAATGTGAAACTGACTTGTTGATTGTTTTGCTGGGGCTATATAAGCCATGCAGTTAAGAGACCAGTTCACTCCCTCCCTGGCTGTCAGATAAAACTCATCTTGGCAAGATGCTGTCCCTAAACCTTCTGCCTGTTGCAGAGCTACTGGTCTTTATCTGGAAGAACATGAGCTCTCTGCTGCATGATATGAAGATGTTCTCCTCTAGATGCTGGCTCTTTTCTGCACCAAAAGCCACTCCTGTCCAAAGCAGGCAGGTCCAGGACCCAGAGAGAGTTATACCCACCAGTGTGAACTACCACTTCACCAGGCAATGCAACTACAAGTGTGGCTTCTGCTTTCACACTGCGAAGACCTCGTTTGTCTTACCATTGGAAGAAGCCAAGAAAGGACTTTCCATGCTGAAGGATGCAGGTACTGCCTATTTCTCTGTTTTGCTGTGCTAGCTAAAGATTTTAATAATATCCAATTGGTAAAAAGGGATATGTCCCCTCCTGTAGCCTATAGCTTTCTCCATGGTCCCTAGGCATGCATTACCTAAAAAATATAACAGATTCCTCCATCATCGAGGAATCTCCCACTATCTTCATTGTATTCTGATGGCGGTTCACCAAGAACCAACCAACATTTGCATAGTGATCTTGGTATAAATTAAAGTTAAAGGCAAGGCCAACCGCTAAATACAAAATGTAAAATGGATATATGGGAGTTTTATTTACCTGTTAAAGGATTTGTATTTCTGTTCAGTCAGTCCTGAGATTTACTTGGCTCTGCCAGGCAGCAGAGCAAGGATAGTACCCTGATTTGTGGCTGCATTTAGGCAATACAACCAAGTTACTTTTCTGCCCCTAACCTATGACCAGACAGTGGGGGATTATATCCCTAGTGCTACTTGACAGGGGATTACTAGCAGGGGCTTTCACGGTATTTAAAAATACATTTAATTATTAATTTTTCTGGTGTACTAGTTATATCCCACTTTATTATTTATTAAGGGAATTCAAAGTAGCTTTATGTACCTTAGTAGGAGATCAAATGCATATTTAGCGGAACTCAGACAGACCGGAGAAGCATCTCAAGTTGATCTCAACCTCAAACTAATGTATCTGAAAGTATTCTGCATTTGTCCATCCACTCAATGTATTTGTGAAGTTTTTTTTTTTTTTAAATTAGCGATTACATATTTTATGAGCCAAGCCCAGTAAAGTTTGCTTTATGTCTTTCAGGTATGGAGAAGATTAACTTTTCTGGAGGCGAACCATTCTTGCAGGACAGAGGGAACTTTGTTGGAAAGATGGTGGAGTATTGTAAGAAAGAGCTAAAGCTTCCCAGTGTCAGCATTGTGAGCAATGGCAGTCTGATCACAGAAAAGTGGTTTCAGACTTATGGTGAGTCACACTGACAGTGCAGTGACATGCATCTCTATTGCAGCAGAAACGTTTATATATTGCTTTCCTTTTTCTTTGTTTAGTATTGTAAGACAGAACAGGAAAAACATGCAATTGAAAAAAATGCCTTTTTTTACTCACTGTAAAAATCTTTTTTTGGAGTACATCAAGGGACACAGGCTCAGTAGATTAAGGAACCACCTGCCACCTTTAGAAAAAATTGGGCATTGGGAAACAAAAAAGCTGTTAACCAGCCATCTATAACCCCTCCCACTTCCATTTTTTTTTTATTTCGAAAAGCAGTATTAATAGTAGATCATA